CATGTCAAAGATGCTTTGCAAAAAGGTGCTACAAACATCATGGTTTAGCACTGTCGACACAAATGTTGTTGTCCAAACTGGTTGAACTAAAGTCTGCTGTTCAGCTGTGGGTGTCATTAGGAAACGGGAAAAACGTCAGATGTTATCACATCAACAGAATATTCCAATATTTTGGCTGTCGAAGATGAGTGGTGCTTCCCTTTTTCCACGCATTCACTGGTTCTGACACAACATCACAGTTCAGTGAAAAAAGGCAACTGCTTTGAAGACTTGGATATCATATGAGGATTTGACGGAGAGATTTCCTTTTCCTCTACAGCATCTATCCATTCCAACCTGTGGACAAGGACTCAGAAGTGTTTTCATAAGTTGATCGATTCACATGCATCATATCTGACAGTACTACATCAGTGAACACAGTCAACGAACTGCGACGAGAGATGAAAAAGGTTTTCCGCTTGTACCGTTATCAACAACATTATCAAATGTGGTGGCAATTTCTGAGCCTCTATGCTCAAAGAAGTGCATTTGAAAATCTTCTCAACTTCTATGCACATCGCTTTGTAACTTCAATGGGAACTGTTAAAGGAGACTTCAGAATCACAGAGATCGATGTTTGACAAAATGTTGTCACGTGACTGATCAAAACAGTAACTTATTCATTAATTGGATGATGAATTTGTATCTTTTACTACTAAACATAAATCTTGTTTGTTATATGTCTTGAGGGGCGTCGGGGTAGCCTAGTGGTTAAAGCGTTGACTCGTCACGCCGAAGACCCGGGTTCGATTCCCCACATGGGCACAATGTGTTAAGCCCATTTTCTGGTGTCCCCCGCCGTGATATTGCTGGAATATTGCTAAAAGCGGCGTAAAACTAAACTCAGTCAGTCAGTGTTATATTTCTTGAAAGTATTAGAAATAGCCCTTTGAACGGCGAATATATCTCACATATTGCAAGAAATAAATATTTGTTTATAGTCGGCCACCATTCTGGGTGGACTTCAGCACTTTTGGATTTTTGGCGGGCATCTTGGATTTTTTGGTAAATAGGCCCAGAAATTCGGGCACACCCCCAAAATATGCTTTATCATGATGTTCCCTAGCACTGTTTTCTGCTTTAATCCAGCGGGGGAAAGTCACAATAGTGTTAGAATTGGAAATCCTTGTTTTTTGGTGGCCATCCTGGACGCCATCTTGAATATTTCGGAAAATGTGCCCCTAAAATAGGGCACCTCCCAAAAATGTGTTTATCATGATATTCCCCAGCACTATGCAAGGTTTCATGCTTTAGTCCGGCATGTAACGATCACCCTCAAAATCGGACCTAAGCCACTGCACTTATGAGGACCATTGACTACTATTAGTCAGTAAATTTCTAATTAAAACCAAAAAGTCATTTTTATTATTGTGATAAATATACTCTACCAAAAAAGAAACGCATAGATGATGTTGATATATAAAATTTCAAAAAAACCCAAAAAACAATTAGTGTTTGAATGTTATAATTAATTATTTATTATAATTTTGTAATTATAATTCTTGTTGGTGTACATGGAACAAATGCACGAAAACGCATCTTCTGAAACTTAAATGCACATTTCTGTTCGAAAGCCTCAAAGTGCACGAGAATGTCATAAAGAAAATGTGGTTCCCAATATGCACGTGTTGTTCTGAGGAATTGTGAGCAGGGACATTGCCTATGTAAGGCTGTTTTGCTTTTAGACAGTCATTGGTATTTTTCAGCTAAAAGAAAGTATATTGTTATGTCGCGACTCGAATATTGGCATTTGACGTCTGAAGTCTGAGGAGTCTGCCATTTTTGCACGTGACCTCAATGTCCAGCATAGTACCATCAGTCGTTTATGGGACGGATATCAACAAACTAATCCTATGCAAGTTCGGCTCGAAGTGGCAGACTTCGGAGTACCACTGCAGCGCAGGATAGTACATCAGGGTACTTCATTTACGGAATCGTAAGTGAAGTGCCTGGTTTGACGCAAACCATTCGTAATCGTTTACGAGAATCTGAACTTCGAACCAGCAGACTCTGTTTTGGCCCTATGCTGACTACATCGACAGGTTCAATGACGCATTAGCGTTCTATTCTGGAACCTACAAAACTGGCGATGTGTATGACGAATTACGCTTTCTGCTTCATTGCCGTGACGGAAGAGTACGTGTCTATCAAAGACGAAATGAGCGTTTTTCCCAGAATTGTGCCGTCCAGGTTGACCGATATGGTTGTCAGTGGCACGGTGTGGGACGCCATACCATATATGCAGAAATCTAACCAGGTGCGCCTTCAGGGCAATTTACCCGCCATTCGGTACAGAGACGAAATATTAAAGATTCACATGGTTCCAATCATTGACCGCCAGAGGGAGTTATTGCAGAAAGATAATGCCAGGCTTCACACAGCACATGCCACTATTCAGTATCTTCTGAATGAGAACATTACAGTGCTTCCATGGTCTTCCGAATGGCCCGACCTGAACCCAATCGGGCATGTGTGGGATGACCTCAGCCGACACCTACGTGAACGGCAACCGGCGCCCCAGACATTAGATCAACTGTGGCACGCATTGCAAGAGGAATGGGCCAGAATCCACAGGTCAAATTCAAAGGCTTATTCAGTCCACGCCGAGACGATGCAGAGCAGTTTGGGCGGCTCATGGTGGCCGCAAACGGGAACGGGCGTCTTCACTTACTGCACGTTTTATAAGCTATAAAAGGGTTTACGCTACAACCGTTTTTTCATGCGTTGCGTTGCATTGCGTTGAATTGCTTTATGAACGGCGATTGTTCATTCACTTTACATGCGAAGTCGCTTTGTGTAGCGTCTACGAATTACCAAATATATACCAACTGGTTATACAAATACATAGTTCCTTTTTCGTGTGCTTTCCATTTAATCACTGCATTTGTACAGGCAACTTCAGTTAACATTGTTGATTAATTCATGGAACACAACATGGTTGACAACTTCAAGGCAATTCTTATATTTACCATGGTGACGGAAGAAGAAGAGGAGGAGGAAATGGAACTTTTAGTATATCATGCTCTTCTAAAAGAGCATGCTCAGGTCAAGAGAAGGTGGTGGGTGCACCCAGTGACTGACAATCGAGCACCCCATGGTACATACCGCCGTCTGGTGGAGGAATTAGAACTGGACGATGAATTGTTTCAACAATACTTTCGACTGTCACAGGAACAGTTCCAGTATGTTCTGAAGAAGGTGGAAATACCAAAAGAAAGATATCAATCACGTACCCTGATGCTCTTTTTGTGCTAAATTGAAAAAAGGCTGTGATATAAACATGTTAGTTGGTAGTTTGGCAATCTCAACATCTAGATACCTCATGTCAAAATCAGTTCTTTTTATCGCTGAACTTTAAGACTTAAACATCATTTTTTATAAGATAACCATCATTAATGAAACATTAATGGCCAAAGTATTATCAAAGGTTCCACGTGGTAGTTTGACTTTCTGACCCATGTGGATACTCCATGGTGCTATGGGAAGCAAACTGAAAGTATTGTTGTGCATTTGGTTGTAAGTAAGCTCTGTTGTACTGGTTAACTGAGGATTCCTTGCTACCAAATCTAGCCTCATGAAACAGCTGAGCAAACTTTTGTGCTTTAGTTGCTCAGAATAAGACAGCTCGAGCATATCATCACTGTTTTGTGGTGTTTGTTTCTTAAATGATTAAAACTGTTTGAATTTAACAGTTACGTTTGTTATATGTGTATGTAACTCTATTAGGAATCAGTCCTCTCCATCCCGTACGTGTTACACACAAGAATCTTGGCAATGGAAGATTAAATGTTATAGTCCATGTAGTCCTAATGTCGTGTATCATACAAAGTGTCATTTTCTTACACCAGCTCAATGAGCCGTTCTTTGTCTACTTGCCTTTCTTGTAGCCATTCCTTTAACAGAAATCAGAGTTCATACATTAGAATAGCAGAATATATATGCAAAATATCAGTTCTTTTAAATATTGTTCAAGAATGGTAGTCGGTGAGTATAAGCTGTTATTTGATAACTGCAAATCACTCACCTCATCTTTTCATCCACGTGGGTCTTCGGGAAAGTCCCTGTTGTATATGCAAAATATGACGTCATAGATGGGAATTCCCCTGCGGTTTCACTTGCGTTGCGTCAGAAATATATGCAGCAACTATTTCCAACGCGACGCAACGCGACGCAACGCGACGCAACGCGACGCAACGCAACGCATTGAAAGGTCGGTGGTAGTGTGTTGCAATAAATGAAATTACTGATGTGCGTTTCTTTGGGGTTCGAGTTTTCTCGTAGGTTATTAAAAGAGAATGAACTTTAACTTGTTTTTATTTCATATACACCTTTCATTCATTTTGGGAAATGACTTCAAATGAGACAATTCAAGAGAAAAAAGTTAGTGTAATAGAATTGCAATAGTTGGTCGCAATAGACTATCCCTACAAGTTCCCATGCTTGAGATCTGCATAATCATTCTGAAGGCTCTATTGAGTGAAACTGCTGCTCGACCTCTGAAGGAGCTTCACTCAGTTTACAAAGAAAAAGCAATTATTGCTAAGAATAAAATACCAATGCCTGATGGCTTCGAAACTGGTAATGGAAACTGTTCCACTGTGTCCAAACACCATTTCTTTACTGTTTCAACTCTCTCATGGACACAGACAATGTTCCTCTATCATTCTGAAAAAGGTTGGATGGGTTTGAGTTAGGTGTTTTTTTCAGCACGAAATGTATTTGGAACGGTTTCAACATGGGGATCGAAAGATAGAGAAGTGAACAGTGATAGATTAGCTAATTATTTGTAGGTATACAATTTATCCTAAATCTTGTATTTTAATTCAGTGTTATTTTAATAACGTTAGTGCCTCATAGACCCGATGCCTGGCTGCTTGACGTATCTTATGGCCTTAATTCCGTTTTGATGTGCGTTTCAATATTTGACACTTAAAAATACTAACTGTCTTCGTTATAATAAGCTGGCTGTGGAGGATCGTGGTCAGCCCTGCGAGGTCACATAACGTCACCAGGTTATCCAAGCTCATACACCCGTGGTCCAACATGCGTCTACAACATAACATCACCATCTACCGGGCGGAGGATACAGATGACAACTGGCAAGTTAGACCTAGGTTCGTCCGACATTTTTCAGGTAAGATGAAGTTTTAGCGGACTTTATCAATCCTCGATAATCTCCAGGTTATACGTTCCGATAAATCTCCACTAGGATCCTTGATGCATTTACTGCTCGGCCCGATAATTCTATTACCTCTCTTTGATTGCTATTTATCCAGTCAGGTGTCTACGCTGGGAAGTAGAGCGTACCAATCACACGACTTCTATCATTTCTTGACTTGCAATTCGGAGTCTTTTTTTTGTTTTTTTTTGCAACACAGTTGTTGCAGTGGTACCCCGAAAGAGGTAGAAGGAGTTCTTGCATATAATCGTTGAAGGTTTCAGACCAGTCAATTTGTCTGTATGACTTTTTCCCCTAAATCTGAGTCACACAGCGAGCAAACCACCGTGGCTGCGGCCGCCATCTTTGTTGACACTGGCAAGCTTGGTGGTAACGGCTTATGGCTACTGTGAGAAGGCGGAGGCAGCAAAAGGGAGCTAATACAATTACAGGGCCGTAGATGCATCCAGGGTACCAGGAAGTATACCCTGGAGATTATCAGGGATGGGCTTTGCCATGCATTGTCTATAAATTGCCCAGGATTTTAAAATGACCAAAAATACCTTTTGGGCAGGTTCCGTGTCCCGATAAATGTGTTGTTTGAACTTTAAATTTCAGGCTTCTTCTTAGGGGATGTTAAAAAACGCTTCGTTTCGCATTGGGGAGGCTATGAATACACAATGCATTTTAGAAAGTGGTCTAATGCAATATATGACCCACTCAGCCACCGACAGGGTGTACGTGATCTAGACTACCTGTTGTCAGACATTCAATTCTGGAGAGACTGCGATGCCGTAGTGGGTCAGATCGCCAACTTTGTTTGCAGGCTATATGTTGGTGTCTTTCTTGTGCGAGCTTACAGCATGCAAACTGAATTTGTTTCTTAGCCGCACATGAAAGGCAAAATAATATAGTCAGCATATGTGGTCTGTATTTATGAGTCAGAAGACTCAGAACCGTAATGGTCAGTACCCCAAATTGAGTGAGTGAGTGAGTTCGGTTTTACGCCGTTTTTAGCAATACTCTAAGAATATCAGGGCGGGGGGCACCAGAAATGGGCTTCACACAATGTACCCCATGTGGGGAATCGAACCCTCGGCCTTCGGCGTGACGAGCGAACGCTTTAATTACTGGGCTACCCCAACGCCCCCATAAACCGAGAGTGCTTATTTCTTGGTGACAACAAATTAAAGCTGAGAATATATGCTCTCTCCTGGCTGTCTGATAAATGCAACAGGAATACGTTTAGCTCAATTGTGTATGGCTTCGATTCGTTGTCGACCCGTGAAGATCCGGGGTAGAATAGGTTTTCAGCAACCCATGCTTGCTATAAAAGGCGACTATGCTTGTCGTAAGAAGCGACTTATGGGATCGGGTGGTCAGTCTCGCTGACTTGGTTGACCACATGTCATCGGTTCCCAATTGCGCAGATCGATGCTCATGCTGTTGATCACTGGATTGTCTGGTCCAGACTCGATTATTTACAGACCGCTGCCATATAGCTGGAATATTGCTGAATGCGGCGTAAAAATAGACTCACTCATTCACTCACTCAATTCGTTGTCAGTCTCTTAAGCGTTCCAGAATCCCATGATCGTGTGGTTGAATCCAAGGTAACGCCATTCTTAATGTTGTCAGCACCGGGTGAGTACGCGTGTTGTTTCCTGAGTAGCAAATGGACCTTGGTTAGCTTTACTCCGGGATTTCCTCCCTCACTCTGTCATAGGTAATGGATTCCTCCAACCAGGTGATATTCAGAAAAGGCGGGAAGACAGGCCCCTTCATCTTGCCCTCTTCAACGTCATACTTAGTCTCATTCGTTCGAAAAACCACGTTCTACTTCTATGGATTCAAAGCGACGTGGGTCGGTAAGTAATCTTCATATTATCATTTCTTATCAGATAACAGCAAATCATTTCTCTTCTAATGTGAATTAAGGCAAAGTGGAACAACTATAGAATGGTCAACAATCATTTGGTTAGCATGCATAGGGCCACTAGTGTAGGTCAGTGTTAAGTGTTACTGTCACGGCAGGTGTAGGGCTACTAGTGTAGGTCAGTGTTAAGTGTTACTGTCACGGTAGGTGTAGGGCTACTAGTGTAGGTCAATGTTAAGTGTTACTGTCACGGCAGGTGTAGGGCTACTAGTGTAGGTCAATGTTAAGTGTTACTGTCACGGTAGGTGTAGGGCTACTAGTGTAGGTCAATGTTAAGTGTTACTGTCACGGCAGGTGTAGGGCTACTAGTGTAGGTCAATGTTAAGTGTTACTGTCACGGTAGGTGTAGGGCTACTAGTGTAGGTCAATGTTAAGTGTTACTGTCACGGCAGGTGTAGGGCTACTAGTGTAGGTCAATGTTAAGTGTTACTGTCACGGTAGGTGTAGGGCTACTAGTGTAGGTCAGTGTTAAGTGTTACTGTCACGGCAGGTGTAGGGCTACTAGTGTAGGTCAATGTTAAGTGTTACTGTCACGGCAGGTGTAGGGCTACTAGTGTAGGTCAATGTTAAGTGTTACTGTCACGGCAGGTGTAGGGCTACTAGTGTAGGTCAATGTTAAGTGTTACTGTCACGGCAGGTGTAGGGCTACTAGTGTAGGTCAATGTTAAGTGTTACTGTCACGGCAGGTGTAGGGCTACTAGTGTAGGTCAATGTTAAGTGTTACTGTCACGGCAGGTGTAGGGCTACTAGTGTAGGTCAATGTTAAGTGTTACTGTCACGGCAGGCGTAGGGCTACTAGTGTAGGTCAATGTTAAGTGTTACTGTCACGACAGGCGTAGGACTACTAGTGTAGGTCAATGTTAAGTGTTACTGTCACGGCAGGTGTAGGGCTACTAGTGTAGGTCAATGTTAAGTGTTACTGTCACGGCAGGTGTAGGGCTACTAGTGTAGGTCAATGTTAAGTGTTACTGTCACGGCAGGTGTAGGTCAATGTTAAGTGTTACTGTCGCTGCAGTTGTAGGGCTACTAGTGTAGGTCAATGTTAAGTGTTACTGTCACGGCAGGTGTAGGGCTACTAGTGTAGGTCAGTGTTAAGTGTTACTGTCGCTGCAGTTGTAGGTCGGTGTTAAGTGTTACTGTCGCTGCAGTTGTAGGTCGGTGTTAAGTGTTACTGTCGCTGCAGTTGTAGGGCTACTAGTGTAGGTCGGTGTTAAGTATTACTGTCGCTTACTGGTGTAAGTGAGCGTTAACTGTCGCTACTAATGTCAGCCTACGTGCTACAAGCTATCGGGTTTTTCTTCACAGATTGTGGCGGGGACTGGACGGGCGATACCGGTAGCTTCCTCTCACCAAACTACCCCGATAGATATCACAAACAGGCGAGTTGCTTCTACACCATCAAACCCAGCAGCGACAACATGATCCTCCTAACCGTGGAAAAACTCAGTTTACCACCCAAACAAAGTCTAAAGGTAAATGAAAGAATAATGATCAACGGGGAAGGATGGGTAGAGTCGGACTTCCCTGTATAATATATGTATATACGTGAAGTTCACTCATGTGGCGGTCATTTGTAAACAGGCATAAACACGTGGAGGCCACTACAACACCATGGCTTTATTTGACTAGCAAACGTCATTAAAATACTTCGAAACCTAATTTTGATAACTGCCGTTAAAGCTCATTATTTTTTCTACAGGCACAAGTACTAGGAATGAGGGTTTACTCCAAAAGTAAAGTCTGGGAAGAGGTTTTACTGAAGTACAGTGAAACCCCTTCCCAGGTTTTACTGGGATTAAACCCCCGTCTCAAAAATATGAGTAATATTGGGAATGGTGGCTACCTGTTGGAAGCGCACAGAGAAGACTGTTGAGGTGTGGGACAGACTGCGATAAGGATCGACATGCCCGATGAGGATGAAAACATTCTAAAATATTACAACCACAAACATCAAATGCCGGTGTCTTACGTCATCTATGTCAACTTCAAAGCCTTGATAAAACAGGAGGAACACGACACTCCCACCACCATCAAAGAAAGTTTCATGTATAAAATGCAAGTACAAGAAGGTTGTGGGTTCGGGTACATGGCCATCCGATGCGAGGAACAAATAAAAGAGCCTTTGGTATACAGAGGCCAAAACGCAACGAAAAGATATCTCACGTACTTACGAAGCGAGGAGGAAGAAATCAGGGAAGATTTGAAAGACCCCATTCCCATGAATATGACACCCAAGGATGAGCTCGCCCATAAACAAGCTAAATATTGTCACGTATGCGGGGACGCCTCAAAAACAATTCCGTGAAAGATCAGTGTCACAACACGGGTCAGTACATATGTGCTGCCCACAACTGGTGTAAGCTCAAGCTTAGAATTGATCTCAAAACCATCCCCATCCCCGTGGTGTTTCATAATCTTCACGGGGTACGATTCTCACTTCATTATGCAGTCCATCTCGAAGATCTATGGCAACTTGACGTGCATCCCCCAAAAATGTAAAAATACATCTCGTTCTCGTTGGGCGGTCAGAGATTCATAGCTAGCGTTCAATTTCTCCTGTCATACCTCGACAGTTTGGTGAAGGCTAATGACCCGATACCTTCGCCATAACCAATCAATAACCAATCAATAACCAAATCAATACACCGACAATCTCCACCAGTGGAGTCATACAGCAATTTGGCCTAGTTCAATATATCGCAGAACGTTTATGGCCACGCTCAGAACGTGTGGGAGAAACTGGGCTGCAAAAATCTGGGCAATTACCTGATCTGTCTTCAAAAACAGACGTGCTCCTGCTTGCCGACGTCCCTGAAATTTTTAGAAAGATGTCTTTGAGACAATATGAACTTGACCCCACATGGTAGTACACCAGCCCCGGCCTGTCGTTGGATGCACTCTTGAAGAAAACAAGAGTCAAACTGGAACTATTGACAGATTACGATATGAACCTGTTTATCAAGAAAGACCTGCAAGGTGGAATTTTGATGGCCGCCAACCAGTATGCAAAGACCAACAATAAATATGTGGAAGGTCAGCCAGTCGTCAAAACACATTCTCACTGTCAACTCTAACAATCAGTACGGCTGGGCTGTGAGGCAGTTTTTTCAAATGGATTAAAAACGGAAAAAAACGAAAATTTTAATGTGTGGAACGTTATGATGGCTTTCCCTGAAGACTGTGTGAAAGGATAAATATTTGAAGTGGACTCCACAATGCCCACAACAATTATCCGCTAGCCCCCGAATAATTGATGGTGAATACTTGCTGCCAGACTATCAACAAAACTTGTTGGGAGAAAATACGTTGGCTCTGGTAGAAAAACTCGTACCCAACTTGATGAATAAGACATAACACGTCGTCCACTAACGTAACCTGCAACTGTACGTATCGCTAGGCATGAACCTCCAAAATGTACATCAGGTTCTGGAGTTTGATCAAAACCCCTTGGATGTAGCCTTACATCAGGATGAACATGGATTTACAGAAACAAGCTACCAGTGATTTCGAAAAAAAATTAAGCAAACTCATGAACAACTCCGTGTTTGGTAAAACGATGGAAAATTTAGGAAAATCTCATGAACAAGAAAAATTAACAGCGAGTCCGGCCTTCAAACAAGGGAAAATATTCGATCATGATTTGGTGGCGATGCAAGAAGCGATGCAAGGTGTTGTATACCAACACCGATTTGTTGTTGATGGAAATTTGTATGTAGGACGTATAGAGGACATGGCGAATAAATATAGATGTACAATATGAGCGATTACCCAAAAGACCACGCCCTACACAGCATGGCGAATTAAAACGTACTCGTGAAAATGAAAGACGAATGTTCTGAGACCCCAACCGCCGAGTACGTAGGATTGAGACCTAAAATGTATTCCATAAAAAAGCCAACAGTGGTGAGATACGAAAGGCTAACGGTGTGAAAAATTGTGTCTTGAAAAAACAAATGAAACACGAACAGTTCAAGGAGTCCTTATTCGATAGACGAACGTTCAAACACCAAATGAACAAATGAGAAGTGACAAGCATAGGATATATGGTTTGAGAATGAACAAAACATTGTTGTCACCAATGGATACAAAAAGATGGACTGCTAATGATAGTGTAACAACTTATGCGTATTGGCAGAGTTGTATTGAAGGGAAATATAATAAAACATAATAATGGATAAAATTTACTTCCGCCCACGTGGATATTGGAAAGGCACAGGCACTATCTGTAAGCTTGCCGACGCCAAGAAGGTCTCCGAAGAGGTCACTAAGGCTTGGTTGAAGAAACAAGCTCAATGGCAAATCTACCTGCTGGCTCCACGATACATCCAAAGGAAAACGTTTGATGTCTCAATGCCCAATCGAGTACATCAAGTCGACCTCTTGCTGCTCCCACATGATAGGGTCAGATGCAGACCGTATAAATATGCCCTGATCGTCGTGGATGTTGCCAGTCAAAGAAGCCGAGATGCTAGCCACGAAAGATTTGACTCAAGTTGCCAAAGCGCTGGAGTGTATCTAAAATCGGAGCCCTTTGACGTGGCCTACTGAATTACAAATCGACCCCAGACGCGAGTTCATGGACTAAATTTCACAGCTGCTAGCAAAACATAAAGTTGAGGTCAGGCGCAGTACAGTAGGAGCGCATCACAACCAAGCCATCGTTGAGAGATTTAACTGGACGTTAGCCGAACACGTATTTGCATATCAGTATGGAGAGGAAATGGTGACGAAAAGGAATGATCAACTGAATGGGTGACTCGTTTACTCGTTTAAGTGATGTTGGCGATCAACAATGAAGTCACTCGGATGATCAACAAGACACCCACCGATGCCATTATAATGAAATCCGTGACTTCTAAATCGTCTGCAGAAAAGAGCAGAAACTGTCAGACCGGGTCAGTGTGAGGCATTTATTCCAACCCGGAGAACTCGAGGGAGGTAGTTGGTATACCATTAACGTATACCATTAACCGGGTGGATATGAAGGATGGTGAACCTTTCTTATATTATCTTAAGGACAGGCCACAGAGGGGATTTGTGCGAGAGGAATTGTCATGGATATGTTCATATTGTTGGCTCCAAAAGAGGTAGTTTTCCTCAAAGAGGTTATCTATGTCATCAAAATAGCTGACGATAAAAAAAAATTGCTTTGGCACTTTTAGTCGGAGTCGCTCCGGGGTAATATAGTCTATCTCGGTGTCTCCAGAGAATGCATTTCTTTCTGCGAACGCAGTGGTCTATGGCACTGTACTTGCAAGTCAAGTTGTCTTGCTCGAATAGGATATGCACTGGTGGTAGAGTGGCGAGGTAGTCGGTGCTGCCGGTCCTTGGTTTCCAAACCGTCGGCGAGAGTTTGCCCAGCAGAGTTTGCCCATTTCAGGTCGAATGGGTGGGTAGAGATAGACCACAACAACTATTTGAAGGCACAGCAAACAGAGTTCTAGCAACTCGCATGGGATCCGGTGCTGCTCGTAGAAGGTGTGTCCTGATAGCACGAGGATTCGTTTCTCTCTGTTCGAAAGGAATAAATACGGACCCTTCTCTAACAACGTGTCGAAGACCTCTGTATAAACCTGGTTTTGTTTTGGGGCTGTCTCACATTTCCATATATCTGTCTTGTGATATATGGTACTTCTTCTTTGCCTGCTGAAGAGACATGTTACCAGATCAGATCTCGGCATAGACTTCTTGCAATAGCTTGGATTCTAGCATGGTTTGGTTTATACCAATGTACCTGTTTATCTCTAATTTGAGTGCACTTCCACCGGTCAAACTGAGGAACATCATTCGATGTTCCATCAGATTTGGTCTGTTTTCGTAGGGCTGTGGGATGGAATTGGGATGAAATAGCTTGATGAAGGGAACTGGGCTAGAACGACCATTCCATATACTATTATATGCTTAATAGACTTTGTATACCACTAAAAGAAAAAGCAAATATTGATGACATTTCAGCAATTAAGACATTGTGTTGTGCTTAGTTCTTATTCAGGAGAGGGGACAGACACAGACGATGCGATGGCTTTCTTTGAGTTTTCTTCGCTTTTTTTAACTTTGACTTTTGTTCGTCACTTGTCCTTTTGTACATTCCTGTGTCCTAGAATTAAAGCATTTGAGTTTTAATATATATTTCGGTATAAATGAAGAAGCAAAATACACGTACTGAAAGAGGTGCAAGTTTTTCAGTATCTTAACTTCATTAGACAACCATAAAATCAAAATCAGTAATTTGAATATTTCATACTTTTCAGAATGTAAATTCAGCTCTTAATTATTTTCTTACCTTCAGATATTATCCGCCGGTAGCATCCTAATTTATACAAGACAAAATGTGGATAATGGTTTGACCATACATGTATGCCATGTATCTTCCTCTACATACCAGTTTGCTCACAGAGCTGCTACTCACTGATGTTAGCTTCCTAAAGCTGGGTCGCAGTAATTGACTGGAGGAATGATTGTTTTTCTTAAATGCCGGCCATGGCACAGATGAGGGGGGACTGAAATATACTCAAAGAACTTACTTAAGCACCCCTGCATTTTTGCAATGATAGGTTTTCCACGCGTACATAAAACTTCTTGGGGTGACCACATGGAAAAACAGGCTTTTTTACCCGTATGGTCCTTTGACTCATATGAAAACGACAAAATGACTGGAATCCATGTTGAGTTTATGATGAAAATTGCTAATTTAAAAAAAACCCCAATGATTTGTATATAAAAAATGTCTGTACAAGTATGACTCTGGAATGTTTAATGTTGAATTTATTGGTGAATGTGAATGTACAAAATGTCATTTTGCGTGTCTTACACGATTCAAGGTCAATACCGAATGTAACATCCAGGTGACTGTATGACAGCCAGCACTCTCCTATGAGAGTACCTAATTTTACAAGTTTTCCAAATAGCATATTAATTCAGATTAATGCAGTTTGTGATCGTTCGCAAATACGCTACACTTATTCCACAATATTGTGGTTATGGGCAACAAACATATTTAATAAAAAAACATAAATTAGAAACTTACCAAAGTAAATTGTACTTCTTTCAGGGTTCTCGATATTTTCAGGTAGCATCATTCAGGGTTCTCGATATTTTCAGGTAGCATCATTCAGGGTTCTCGATATTTTCAGGTAGCATCATTCAGGGTTCTCGATATTTTCAGGTAGCATCATTCAGGGTTCTCGATATTTTCAGGTAGCATCTTTCAGGGTTTTCGGTATTTTCAGGTAGCATCTTTCAGGGTTCTCGATATTTTCAGGTAGCATCATTCAGGGTTCTCGGTATTTTCAGGTAGCATCTTTCAGGGTTCTCGATATTTTCAGGTAGCATAATTCAGGGTTCTCGATATTTTCAGGTAGCATCATTCAGGGTTCTCGATATTTTCAGGTAGCATCATTCAGGGTTCTCGATATTTTCAGGTAGCATCATTCAGGGTTCTCGATATTTTCAGGTAGCATCATTCAGGGTTCTCGGTATTTTCAGGCAGCATCTTTCAGGGTTCTCGATATTTTCAGGTAGCATCATTCAGGGTTCTCGGTATTTTCAGGCAGCATCATTCAGGGTTCTCGGTATTTTCAGGTAGCATCATTCAGGGTTCTCGATATTTTCAGGCAGCATCATTCAGGGTTCTCGGTATTTTCAGGTAGCATCTTTCAGGGTTCTCGATATTTTCAGGTAGCATCATTCAGGGTTCTCGGTATTTTCAGGCAGCATCATTCAGGGTTCTCGATATTTTCAGGTAGCATCATTCAGGGTTTTCGGTATTTTCAGGCAGCATCATTCAGGGTTCTCGATATTTTCAGGTAGCATCTTTCAGGGTTTTCGGTATTTTCAGGTAGCATCTTTCAGGGTTCTCGATATTTTCAGGTAGCATCATTCAGGGTTCTCGGTATTTTCAGGTAGCATCATTCAGGGTTCTCGGTATTTTCAGGCAGCATCATTCAGGGTTCTCGATATTTTCAGGTAGCATCTTTCAGGGTTTTCGGTATTTTCAGGTAGCATCTTTCAGGGTTCTCGATATTTTCAGGTAGCATCATTCAGGGTTCTCGGTATTTTCAGGTAGCATCTTTCAGGGTTCTCGATATTTTCAGGTAGCATCATTCAGGGTTCTCGATATTTTCAGGTAGCATCATTCAGGGTTCTCGATATTTTCAGGTACCATCATTCGGGGTTCTCGATATTTTCAGGTAGCATCTTTCAGGGTTCTCGGTATTTTCAGGCAGCATCTTTCAGGGTTCTCGATATTTTCAGGTAGCATCATTCAGGGTTCTCGATATTTTCAGGTAGCATCTTTCAGGGTTCTCGGTATTTTCAGGCAGCATCATTCAGGGTTCTCGGTATTTTCAGGCAGCATCATTCAGGGTTCTCGATATTTTCAGGTAGCATCATTCAGTGTTCTCGGTATTTTCAGGTAGCATCATTCAGGGTTCTCGGTATTTTCAGGCAGCATCATTCAGGGTTCTCGATATTTTCAGGCAGCATCATTCAGGGTTCTCGGTATTTTCAGGTAGCATCTTTCAGGGTTCTCGATATTTTCAGGTAGCATCTTTCAGGGGTCTCGGTATTTTCAGGCAGCATCATTCAGGGTTCTCGGTATTTTCAGGCAGCATCATTCAGGGTTCTCGGTATTTTCAGGCAGCATCATTCAGGGTTCTCGGTATTTTCAGATAGCATCATTCAGGGTTTTCGGTATTTTCAGGCAGCATCATTCAGGGTTCTCGGTATTTTCAGGCAGCATCATTCAGGGTTCTCGGTATTTTCAGGCAGCATCATTCAGGGTTCTCGATATTTTCAGATAGCATCATTCAGGGTTCTCGGTATTTTCAGATAGCATCATTCAGGGTTCTCGGTATTTTCAGGTAGCATCATTCAGGGTTCTCGGTATTTTCAGGTAGCATCATTCAGGGTTCTCGGTATTTTCAGCAAGCATTTTTCAGGGTTTTCGGTATTTTTATAGGCGCAGACTTTTTTTCTTCTGCACTTTACACTCTTTGACTCTGCTGGGATTGGTTTTAGAAATTCCTCTGTGTTCTACAAGTGTCTGCATCCGTTCTGGGCAACTTGTGAGCTCTGTGAGTTCTGGTGTAGTCTCAGACTGCGGTGTTCTTTGCCACCTTTTGAAACGTGAAGTTTAGTACGAGTACAACACAAAGATCTCATTTTAGTCTCTTGAAGAATATTCGCTTGTACCATGTCAGATATGGCGTAATTATTCTATTCTAAAAAGACGAAAAAATATTTAATCATTTGTACAGTAAACAAACCTACAGTTTATATGGCGACTCATTTATTTCAAAAGAGATTAACAATACAGCATTTTAACGATTAAAATGTAAACATACACACAAGTTAGATAAAGCACCGTGTCCAGTAGTTGTGGATTGTCTTCGTCTAATGCTCCCTTCTCCCACAATGTATTTTCCTCGTCTCTGGATATCACTTCTGTTGATTTCCGACAGTCTGCACCCAGACCACTCGCAGATCTTTCCCTCATGCAAGCATCTGGAGCTTTTCTACATTTGCTGAATTCATCATCATCCATAAGGTTAAAGGTGATCCACTATGTTTTGAGAGCCGAGGCTATTGCAGTGAAAAGGCCATACACAGTAATAGCTGGATAGAACGTACAGTCAACTTTCGTCGCTTCGAAAACAAAATACTTCAGTATTAAGGTCTTCAGTGTTCATCGTCAACAAATCATCCCTCAACACTGACGACCATATAGCAACATTAGACAGGTTGAGCAGCGCTACGTGTAAATGTACGCCTACGTGTGTTTAGGGGGATTCCCCTATATATCTGTGTATTACGTCATCACTATTTGCTGACCTGTCACCCTACAAGTTCCCGCTGTCGCTAACTTTGAAGGATACACGTAGGCGTACATGTACTCGCAGCGCTGCTCAACCTCTACATTGTCATCAACAGACCGTTGTCTTCACTCTTCTTGCCATCTATTAAATAAACTCGGGGCCCAATATCGACTGGTGTCGATGGTATCATAACACAGAATCTGGGACTGCTTCAGGTGATAGATGCCGGTGGACATACGTTCAACCCCCTGTCATCTCAAGTAGAGTTCCAGCACTATGGACCCTCATCGTCCTTCATGTTAGACTTCACGGTCACCGGTAGTGTCAACAGCAACGGCTTCCATGTAACTTGGCAAGGTAGGCACATATCCAGCTACACCTATCAGCACATGCTTGCATACAACAATGCAACGCAGACACACGTGTATCTACACCTTCCAGCACATGTTTGCATACAACAATGCAACGCAGGCACACGTGTATCTACACCTGTCAGCACATGCTTGCATACAACAATGCAACGATGACACGTGTATCTACACCTTCCAGCACATGTTTGCATACAACATTGCAACGCAGACACACGTGTATCTACACCTTCCAGCACATGCTTGCATACAACAATGCAACGAAGACACGTGTATCTACACCTTCCAGCACATGTTTGCATACAACAATGCAACGCAGACACGCGTGTATCTACACCTTCCAGCACATGTTTGCATACAACATTGCAACGCAGACACACGTGTATCTACCCCTTCCTGCACATGCTTGCATACAACAATGCAACGCAGGCACACGTGTATCTACACCTGTCAGCACATGCTTGCATACAACAATGCAACGAAGACACGTGTATCTACACCTTCCAGCACATGTTTGCATACAACAATGCAACGCAGGCACACGTGTATCTACACCTGTCAGCACATGCTTGCATACAACAATGCAACGAAGACACGTGTATCTACACCTTCCAGCACATGTTTGCATACAACATTGCAACGCAGCCACGCGTGTATCTACACCTTCCAGCACATGTTTGCATACAACATTGCAACGCAGACACACGTGTATCTACCCCTTCCTGCACATGCTTGCATACAACAATGCAACGCAGACACGCGTGTATCTACCCCTTCCTGCACATGCTTGCATACAACAATGCAACGCAGACACACGTGTATCTACACCTTCCAGCACATGCTTGCATACAACATTGCATAGCAGACACGTGTGTATCTACACCTTCCAGCACATGCTTGCATACAACAATGCAACGCAGACACACGTGTATCTACACCTTCCAGCACATGCTTGCATACAACAATGCAACGCAGACACACGTGTATCTTCACCTTCCAGCATATGCTTGCATACAACATTGCAACGCAGACACGCGTGTATCTACACCTTCCAGCACATGTTTGCATACAACAATGCAACGCAGGCACACATGTATCTACACCTTCCAGTACATGACTTCACTCAATACGGCAAGACAGGCACACGTATGTCTACACCTTCCAGCACATGTTTGCATACAACAATGCAACGCAGGCACACATGTATCTACACCTTCCAGTACATGACTTCACTCAATACGGCAAGACAGGCACACGTGTATCTACACCTTCCAGCACATGACTTCGCTCAATACGGCAAGACAGGCACACGTGTATCTACACCTTCCAGTACATGACTTCGCTCAATACGGCAAGACAGGCACACATGTATCTACACCTTCCAGTACATGACTTCACTCAATACGGCAAGACAGGCACACGTGTATCTACACCTTCCAGCACATGACTTCGCTCAATACGGCAAGACAGGCACACGTGTATCTACACCTTCCAGCACATGACTTCGCTCAATACGGCAAGAGAGGCACACGTGTATCTACACCTTCCAGCACATGACTTCGCTCAATACGGCAAGAGAGGCACACGTATGTCTACACCTTCCAGCACATGACTTCCGGGGGAGATTTGCAGGAATCTGTATCGCTGTCGCTGTCGGTATCGAAAATAACATCTGTACACATGCATGTCTCAGTATGAACTGTGATTCATGAATGGTAGTTATTACTTTATCATCATATTTCCCAGCTATCAATGATCATGTAACCGCACTTCACATTTGCCCTTTGCCACCCTGAGGGTAGATTTACCCCCTTGGGTGTAATAACCATAGGGAAAAATCAGTGCATGTAAACAAAGCTGTAATACATATCAAGCGGCTTATATAATTTCTGTGAAAGCACATAATCCCCAGGTACCACCAGTTTCATGCAGCTGTCTTTTATAGGTCTGTCTCCCAGAAAAATACTCTAGAATTGTTGAACAAGTCTAGTGAGTGAGTGAGTGAGTTATTATTTAACGTCACATCGGCAATATTTCAGCCATATCGTGACGAGAACACTTGACATTAAATAGAATATATATAGAAATAATAAAACCTGTCGACGAAGGACAGTAAAACAACTAGAATATCACAATTACAACTAAAACTAGTACTGAGAGTTAAAACTGATAGCACTATTTGGACAATACAATTTAAAAACAAGCTATAGATCGCCAACACCAGAAGGTAGATCACCAAACTAGGGACTGAACAAGTCTAGATTGTGAGTGTGTGCGTGCGTGCCTTTAGCACATAAATGCGCTTCGTCAAAGTTCCCTCAGCTCGAGGCTAAAAATAAGCATTATTTGTGATTCCCTGTAGGTGTTTCTCTTTCAAGATACATATCGATATATAAGATAATTATATATATCTCTGGGAGTAGATATCAGTTTAGACTTCAATAAGCGGAACCGTGTACTAAAGTATACGTAGCTGCATCACTATGTTCGCTTTCTGTATGTGGGACGAGGGTTTTGTGAAGTGAATGTTTCAGATAATGTTTATTTACAGCTGTGCCACCAAGAGTCAATCCCTCTCCATCGCTCAGTTCGGTTCTCAACGCGACGCCTTGTGAGCCCCGGAAGTTAACGATGGTCTCCTCAGCAGGACTCAAACTCTCGTCTACGTCTCCAGGAGCCTTGGGTTCGTTCGAGTGTTTGAAAGCGTGCCTTTCGGACCTGCGATGTTCTCATTTCTACGTCTCGCATAAACAGTGTTTTACCCTCCGACCAGACAACATCACTAGCACACCAATCGCGTCTAAAATCTACCAAATAAAAGATTTTATGTAAGCGAACAAAAATTGTAAGGTGTGAATGCGTGCGGGCGTGCGTGTGTCTACGTGGGTGCTGATGACATACAGTCCGTTTGGCTCAAAAGCGGACCGATGAATTGCAGTCTAACTCGAAAACTAATAAACATAACATACTTAATAAAACACTGATCATAAACAAAACATCATACCAACTCTGCACTCCTCCCTCGTAACAAATAGTGAACAGTGTCAATATTTTAATGATAGATTGTTAAACAACTTTATTATTTTTAGGACAAAAATTCTGCAAAAACCTCACAGAGTGGGTATGATGTTTTGATTATGATCAGCATTTCATTGAGTATTTTCTGTTTATTAGTTTTCGAGTTAGATTGCAATTCATCGGTCCGCTTTTGAGCCAAAGGGACTATAGTCGTTATTGAGGGTGTCACCCACCAAGTGTGGTTAAATCGTGTTCAGATTCCTCATTGCAGTAAGTGAGTATGTTTTACCCCTCTTTTAGTGACATTCCAGCAATATCACGGCGGCGGACCCCAGAAATGGGCTTCACACACCATATGGGATCCGCTGTGCAGTAGCCATGAAATATGTTGTAACCAATGTTACAATGTTAAAAACATGTCCGCTTGCAAAGAATGAAATTAACACTGGAGGACCCCCTTGAAAATTCCTGGATCCGCCTAGAATAAATCAGTACAACATTTAGCTTTAGGCTTCCTGGCACGCATAAGCATGCATTCTGTGTGAAATTCTAATCTGAGGTTACGTAAGTTATCGCCTGTGTAAACAAAGCGTGACGCGGTGAGTGAGTGTGGTTTTACACTGCTTTATAACAATATCGAGCAATATCACGGCTGGGGTCAGGGCTAAGGAGGCTGTGTCGTGGGGATACTAGACAACTCTCCACCGTTTTTCAGAGTGAGGGCATGGATAGATCTGTAGGCGACCATTGTGGACCTACACGAATATTTTCTTCAAAATAATATGACCTTCAGACGTCTACCCTCGTGGAGACTAGAACAGGTTCCAAGTAACCCTTACTTGTCGTAAGAAACGACTTACTGCATCAGATAGTCGTGCTCGTTCCCTTGTTTGTAATCGTATCAAAGTATGAATCACTGAATTATCTGGTTCAGACATCATTATTTACAGACCATACCTGAAAGGACGGCAAGTGTGTTACCACAGAGGGTGGAGTCTACTAATGCCTACAGTGAATAATGCCTACAGTGTTAAATAAACAACTTTACGCACCAGTGCTGCTGATTGCACCTGCCTTCAACCTTTCAATAAAGTGGCATGGTCCTATTTCAAAGTGCACTAATGCCTACAGTATATAGAAAACAGTAACTTTCTATGTTGAGAGACATTTTATTTGGTCATTCCAAGAGTACCAGCTGTCCTCCTTTCTGTGATGTGAAGTATTCGACTTTCTTGGGATTTGCCATGATTTGCAATGAAGATTTGTATCACAAGCATTTTAAAGCAATACATTTCCTTCTCCCTTTAATAATCTCTCAATTAATTACTCTATTCTTCAATTTTAAAGCAATACATTTCCTTCTCCCTTTCATAATATCTCTATTAATTACTTTACTCTTCAATTTCCTTCTCGTGTGAGAACTAAATGCGTATGGAATTATCAAAACATAAGCTAGCTAACGATTTAATACTCTTGATCTTACTCTTTACTCTCCTTGCTGGCCTCCCCTAATCCCTTTGTAGGCAATAGTGCACACTAAGTGGAACAATCTACTTGTGTGCAGGTAAGCGTATCGCTGTCACTGCAAACGTTGTAGCTATTATTCCCTGTAGGCATTATTCACTGTAGGCATTAGTAGACCTAACCCCATGGAGCGATACTAATCTCCGGTGGCAATAAACATACGCTAATGTATTCTGATTTACGAAAGAAACAGATATGTATGTTCTAAAACCCCGACATGATTGAAAAGGGAAAAAACGTATGTTACTTGAAGTGTCAAGTAAAGTTTATAGTGTTTACGAAAGGGGTATAGCAAGAGATGGTAAAACCCTTTTTACATTAATTTTCAGCTTTGTACAAAAAACTATTTGTTGTAGATGCTAACTTTCGATACCAGCTTAGAGTTTTACGGCTGTTCAGATGAGGATTTCCCCAAGTTCTTTTGTCCATTTTACTTCATGAAACAGAATTTGTGCGCACTCACTTGAAAGTATTGTGCACGCATTGCTACTTATAAAATAGAGCACACAAACACTTCCAATTGGCACAAGAAATGTAACAAAACGTCGATGGCACAATTCCAACCGTATCATGAGTATGTGTATAGCAATCGCTGTCAAATAGTGACATTAATTCGCGAAAAGATCAGCATATCCTGCTTCATTAGCAGCACTCGTCACAAACACATGCGTGGTCTATTCAAGTTTTCTTTTGGCAAAATCACTTGAACACCTGTACAAGTCAACATAGGTAATGGCATCTGATATTAGAGCTTCAACGAGTTTCACTTTCTGACCCGAGTACTCGAAATTCATACCTTTCAAGCAAACGATAGTGTAACTTGCATGACATGTGTACCGATTACACAAGTGAACACTTACTTCATTCCGACTTTATATCGTCATTATTTTTGTGAACTGTGTATATATTCATTTTGAGACAGTTTGGATGTATAAGAATTTCCTCCGGGATAATATAGTTATATCTTATCTTAATATTAGACGTTAACGGACGCTCATGCTTAGCACATGGCAGACAAACAGTTTGTCAGCGTCAATAATTCGAGTTATCTCCTCTTTTCGAGTCCTCGAGTCCTTGAAAATGGACTCGAGTCCAGCTAAACCCGACTGTACTCGAGTACCCGTGGAAGCCCTATCTGATATGGTGTTGGCACTGGTGCTTCAAATTGGGAAATGCATTATATGTCTAGTTTTTGAAAGCTTTGAACCATGGTCTTGAATGCTGTAACCTTGATCAAGAAAGTTTTACTCTTTGAAATCTTCAGAGAAAGTGCATGCTCGATTGCACCGTATAATGGTTGACATCAAAGGCTACTGGAATATTGTTTGACATAATGGAAAAGTCGACTATTAGAAGGTAGGTGTAGTCCGTCTGATCACAACAATTCTGTGTGAAGTGTTTTATATGAATCTTTGGGATGGCACAGAAGATCTCCTCCTTCTAGTGTTCAACACAAGTCAAGGTCAAAAGCCCCTCGGTACAAAAAGCCCCTCGACCAAATGCCCCTCACTTTATGTATTAATGGGGAAAAATGATTAAAGACATGAAATATTTTATTACTTAATAATATAACGACCCTATATGATATATAAATTTATCTGTAATTAGCAAATAGTTTTAGTGGATAAGAAATACATATCATCAAAATACCAATCGTTTATAGGTTGCAGATGTGCCAAGTAAGCAATTGTCACATTTTCTCATTTTCCTTTACATTAATATGATAAAATACTTAAAATACTTTATAAGTTATGTAAGAGGAATGAGAATATTTCTGTCTACTTTATGAAATGTAAAATACCTTTTCCTACTTAAAACACTGCATAAATTATTTAAGAGCAGTGAGAAATGTTCATTCTTATATGAAATACATGAATCGAAAGGCTTTTGACAAGGATGATCAAATTAGCGAGGGCCTATTGTGCCAAGAGGCTTTTGTCCTGAGGGGCTTTTGGTCGGTCCCCTTTAACACAGAATTATGAAAGCCTTTGCACTAATTAGGTCGCTTTGTGCAAGGGGGTCATGGTGGGTAAATCCATGTGGGGTGGTTATTGAACGATAGAAGATCAGTGATATACCAAAACGTAAGTTATAATTCTTGCCCACAAGTTCTGTTGTTTTTTCGTTTTTGTTTTTTGGGGGGGGGGTTTGGGTTTTTTTTACTTTGCCTTTTTGTGTAAATGATTTACCCCCAAATGTCACATAGATGCTGTCATTTAGAAGTCCAGAATTTGACATAATGTTTCTCTGTACGCTCAACATGTCATATTCTTTCACTTTGAACATGTTGCCTGCACCGTTGGAAATAGAAGTGTAACTGTATCTTTGGTCAGCACGATCGTAACAGAAGCTCAAAGACTGGAAGTATTTTCTTGAAATTTGTCATGCGGAATAGTGATGTTAAATCAAAGGTTTTAAAATTGAACTTGGTTCTTTTCTTGAGGTTGCAAAAGGTCATGCAAATCCTTTGGGTTTTAAGATTCCTTTAAGAATTGTGGTAAATATCTGAGTCTGGAATTTGGAAGAACATTTGCTGGACCCAGCGAAATATCTGTCTTTGACAGCTGTGTTACCTTTGACTTCACTCTGATTAGAGAGTAATCCTAGTAAGCATTGGTCGATAATAACGTACACACAATTCAACGTGAGCACAGTAGATTGCTTGTAAACATTTAATGTGAAAAAATAACATTTATCCTAACTACAGCTTTTATTGAATTTAAACTTTAAAGTTGTTTGTTAATCTTCTTTTAGCTGTATAATGCTGGTATATTTACTATTAGTTCACCTGACCTTAAGTTAGACGGTCAGTCCTTTAGCCCCGCTTTAGTCATTCGTCTTAAATATTTCCTCAGTAATCACTGAACGAAGAACCCAGAACATTATCATGATACTTGTTCCCGCCTTGATGAACCCCCAACTTTGACATACTGGACCAAATCACATTTTCTTTCTCATATTACGTGTCTTTTGACCATATGCCTTTTAACAATTCGAAATATCACACCTCTAATATATGTATCATTTCACGGACGATTAAGGTTCGTTTCAAGGTGTCTCCAGTTCAAATCTGACCCCTCGGCATTACCCGAGTTTGTCGGGATATATGTTTTTGAAATATGGTATTAGTTAATTGTGGGACAATATATTTAAGCTCTTTTCTACATACCCGGATGTGCTACAGTCCCATGGTATTATATTTGTGTATACTTAACTGCTTGTTTTATCATCATTTGTGTATTTCATGAAGCTCTTCACAAGTGTAAGAACCGAGGCCAATGAGTCTGTCCTTATTGCGTTCTGTCATGCAAGTAATTGTACTTATTACAGTCGATTGCTTCGATAACATGATACGAAACATGAAAGGGTGTTTGCTGTTAGATGTGAAAGAATGATGTTCTGCAG